CACATCCAAAACTAAAACAAAAGAAAATGAACGTAAGTCAAGTAAAAATTAATAATTTGACGACGTGAAACCCAAGTAAAATGACTTAAACACAGAATGTACTCATCAATGGTTAAGTGTAAAAGTCAAAATGGAAATAGGTCAGTTTCACTGGGTCTTTTTTAAAAGAACCCTGCCCAAATTGAAGTGTATGTGCAATATAGGGTACATCCATAGTAATGAGAATTTATTGTATAGGAGACAATTTCTCTAGACCTTAAGTAATAAGGAGAGAAATTGTGTTAAGGAGACAACACAAGTTCGTTGGGTTCAATAATTTTAAATCTCATGATATATTACACTCTTCATCCTAACATGAGATAAACACCACCCGTCAACGTACCTTTTTCTCTACACTATGAATGCAATAACAAGTGTCTGTGCTTGCTTCTGTTTTCACCAACTTTATTTCCACCATCTCAAATTTCCTCCACTATAGAAATCAAAAGCAGGCAGAAGCATAATTTCTTTCTAGAAACTCAAAAGCCAATAAGCAAAGAATAAGAGGTGACATTACTACACGCAACTCTCCATTCCCAACAATAAAGCTAACAAAAAATGGCTTTCTTCCTCGCTTCCACTGATCATTTCACCATGTTTTTCATTCTTATTTCAACATTTCTTGCCATTACTGATGGAAAATTTTCAGAACAATACCCCGAAACAAAGGCTACTAAACATGATGATAAGATTTACCATCTCCATTTCTACTTCCATGATATTGTGAGTGGGAAAAATCCAACAGCCATACTAGTTGCTGGTCATAGGAATTCTTTCGGCAGCACTGCGATGATAGACGACCCTCTAACTGAAGGGCCTGACCCCAGCTCTAAACTTGTTGGAAGAGCTCAGGGAATGTATGCTATGACTTCTCAACATGATGGAAGTCTACTTATGGTTTTAAATTTTGCATTCAATGAGGGGAAGTTTAACGGAAGTTCGGTTAGTGTTCTTGGGAGGAATCCGGTGCTTGATGCAGTCAGGGAAATGCCGGTAGTGGGAGGCAGTGGGATTTTCCGTTTTGCTCATGGCTATGCACTGGCAAAGACATACCAGTATAATATTACATCAGGGGATGCTGTGGTTGAGTACAATGTGTTTGTAATGCATCATTGAAAATGTATTGTCTTATGAATAACTTCTACTTGAATGCTTCACTGTTTCTATGATTTTTTCCCTTATTTTCAGTCAAGTTATATTATAAACACATAGAGGAAAGGATTTCAGACAATTACAAGTAAAATCATGCTTAGGTTACTTCAAACTCCCAACAGAAGCAATATTGGTAGTAAAGCAATTAAATCGGATGAGGCTATTAGCTTATATGCATCCATGTGCATTGTGGACAATGGAAGATGGCAAAAGAAATCGAAGAATAGACATATAATACAATTATGAGAGTTTTTTCCATCCTTTTGTTGACACATTATGCAGTTGGAAAGGGAATCGGCAAACTAAAATTCTTTATACAAAATAAAAAAGCAAATATCAACTTATTTCGATGCTAACGTGATCAAGTATACCTTCTAATTTCTAAACCTCCATGCTGAAGCTGAGAAAAGTGGTTGATCCTGCCAGCAGATTATAAAGCAGCCATTTTCAACTTTTATTTTGTATCCATCATAATTGTAACTTTGTAATAATCTCCTTGCCTGCAACATGACACCGTAGCTCAAAGCGACCTTCCCAAAACCAGCCAACTCGAGCCGAGGACTCCATTTGTCAAGCTTCTCATGCCTCTTCTTTCTATCGAGACCCTCACAAGATATAATATTCTTAATTTCCTCTCCAAATAGCATCTTCTCGATCTTTTGACGCTCTATGAGTGCCCTTGGGGCAGTCGACTCCAAGCCATCAAACAGTGCTGCATAAAAGTTTAATGCTTCCAGGATTCTCTCCATTAAACTAAACCCGTTGTGGTTTGATTCTTGCTCAGTCACCACCATTAATTTTGGGGAAAGACCCGAAATGGCGTTTAGAAAACTTGCCATCTTCGGTGGAGTGGGCGAAGATAGTGGTGAAGATGATTCAGAATCTGGACTTGCACTACATTTATTAATCACATCCTTATCAAGAAAGTCGCCTAGAGTGTGTGGATTCATTTGCAAGACTCTTCGAAAGTGGACAGTGTTAGGACTCTTATTCACCGAAGGGGAATTTGGTTGTAGCATCTCATCATCGAGTGCCAAGAGAGAATGTAACTGAAGTACAGAACTTATAGCAACAGCTTCTCCCGACTTGACACGTAAACTTTTGAAGTCAAGATTTTCTAATCTGCTAACTATAGGATTAAACTGAAACGGGATGTCTAATTTTTCAGCTTCCAGGTTCAATCGACGAGCCATTTGTTCTAATACCTCTTTCTGTTCATGGATGCCTGTAATTATTATATGAGGCGGGCCTTCACGTCGTTCACTTAATGCCTGAAGAAGACTAATCCACTGTGCAGGCTCAAAAGAATGGAGATCAATAATGTGAACCACCTTCTCCCCTTCCATAGCTTCAAGAATCGCCTGGTTTGTGATCACATAGGCAAGCTTTAGAAAGGGACAGAACTCGAAGAACAACTTCTGAACAAGAATTTCCTCAGTCACTGACGTTATTTTGGTGGAATTAAGGGCCTTGTGCAGCCCGGGCCAACCTTTAAGCATACGATCAGCAAGCGCTTCCATGAAATAGGCTGCAATTCTCTGCATTGTATCACCATCGGGTGATGCAAGATTTGAAATATATTCAAGACCAATATTGGCATTCTCGACATTACCAGCAGCAACATGATTAGCACAGGCAATAAGAAGATGGATCAGAAAAAGGCCTCGATCCTCAGATCTCATTTCCCGGGGCCAAGGATACGGTGATCCTAAACCGGGTGAAAGAGACATCATGGAAAACAGATGCAGAGGTGACGAACTTACAGACGAAGATCCCTCTTGAATCATCTCTGCTACCAACAGTAAAATCCACCAAGCAACGTATAAAAGTAATGACCTACAGCGTGCAAAGATCCCAAATAAGGCATGTTCTAAGTGCAAGATCATTGTGTATCAAAATAGTGGTTGAATATAGACAAGTTACAAACTTACAATAGAACTTCGACATCAATATTTTAGTATCGCCATAATATAAAATCATCAATTATCGAAAACAGTAATCCCAGATGTTAAACTTTCGCTAATCACACTCCATATTTTGGATTTCAAGAATATGAAACAACTAACGTGTCGGTTAATCGAGTATGAGTGTTGTCACGGACCTAGAGAACTCCCCTACCCATGTGGCATGGCAAGATAGCTCATTGCGGGTTTATTGCTATATTTCTCGGAAGTGCACTGACGATGTCCCTTTAACAGGTTTGGATGTCATGCTTTCTATCCCTATGTT